AGGAGGAGGAGGAGGAGGAGGAGGAGGAGGAGGATGAGAGGAGGAAGAGGGGGGAGGGAAGGAAGGGAGGGATGGGGGGAGGGAGGGAGGTAGGGAGGGAGGGAGGGAGGTGAGGAAGTAGGGGAGGGAGGGAGGGAGGGAGGGAGGGAGGAGGAGGAGGAGGAGGAGAAGTGGGGGGAGGGGAGGGGAAGGGAGGAGGATGAGGAGGAACAGATCATGACGTCGGGGGTCTGGGTACGCCCCCCTACAACGCCGCAAGGGGCCCCCCACCCACCCGCCATGGGAGCCTCTCCGGAGGCCCTCGCGTGGACCTCTAGAGGACGGGCCTCCCGGGAGGGGCCTCCAGGGGCCGAGGGGGGAGGCGCCCGCTTTCGCTTGGGGGCCCTGCCAGGCTTTGGAGCCGGGAGCTCTTGCAGTCGGGAGCCCCGAGGTCTAATTAAGGTCGGGGTCGGCTCGGGGAGGGTGCCGCAGGTCGGTGGCTCAAAAGGATGGGGTCCTCAGGGATGGGGTCCCGAGGATCTGAAGGGATCCATGGGTGAGGGAGGGAGGGAGGAGGGGAGAGGGAGGGAGGGAGGGGGGGAGGGAGGGAGGGAGGGAGGGAGGGAGGGAGGGGGAGGAGGAGAGGAGGGATGATGAGGAGGAGGAGGAGGAGGAGGAGGAGGAGGAGGAGGAGGATGTTTTGGGCACCTCGTCCTTGGGACCCCATCCCTCAGGACCCCATCTCTGAACCACCGAGTAAGACTGTTGTGGTTTCTTGTTCTTCAGTTTGGGGTCGGCGGAGGGCCTCATGTTCTTGGAGGATGTTCTTCTGTCCCAGGTCCGACCGTCAGAAGTCTCCTCCCGGAAAGCTCGGCCAGCGTTTCTTAACCACCTTGCTGGAGAGCTGGCCCAGTTTCTGAAGCACGCTCGTCCCTCCAAGCATGCACAAGAAATGGCCCAGGCTTGTTTGGAAAAGTCGCATTCGAAGGAGCTCCCTATAGGGCCACGAAACGTGTGAGGGGTGCGTCACAATGGGCGCGGTGGGCGCATGCGAAAGCAGCCACTGGGGCCGTCGGTGGAGCTCCCTGTGGGGCCATGAAACGTTTGAGAGGTGTGCCGAAACGGGTGCGGTGAGAATTGCGAACGCAGCCACTGTGGCTGTCGGTGGAGATCCCTATGGGGCCGCGAAACGTGTGAGTGTGTGCCAAAATTGGTGCGGTGGGCGCATGCGAGCGCAGCCACTGGCGCCGTCGGTGGAGCTCCCTGTGGGGCCACGTGGCGTGTGAGGGATGTGCCACAAATGTGCGCGGAGGGCGCATACGTACGCAGCCACTGGGGCCGCTTGTGGAGCTTTCTGTGGGGCCACGAAACGTGTGCAGGGTGTGCCAAAATTGGTGCGCCAGGAGCATGCGAACGCAGCCACTGGGGCCGTCGGTGGAGTATGAGGCCGCGAAACGTGTAAAGGTGCGCCAAAACGGGCGCGTTGGGCGCATGCGAACGCTGGCATGTGGACCTTCGGTCGGGCTCCCTATGGGGGCACGAAACGTGTAAGGGGTGTGCCAGAATGGGTGCGGTGGGCGCATGCGAACGCAGCCACTGGGGCCGTCGGTTGAGCTCCCTATGGGGCCACGAAGCGTGTGAGGGGTGTGCCGAAGTGGGTGCGGTGGGCGCTTGCGAACGCAGCCACTGGGGCCGCCGGTGGAGCTCCCGATGGGGCCACGAAACGTGTGCGGGGTGTACCTAAATGGGTGCGGTGGGCGCTAGCGAACGCTGGCATGTGGACCTTCGTCGGAGCTCCCTATGGGGCCACGAAACGTGTGAGAGGTGCGCCGAAACAGGTACATGCGGAGGGCAGAGGCAAGGAGGGGGAGGAGGGAGGAGGAGGGGGAGTAGGAAGGAGAGGAGAGGATCGCGGGGCAGTGTCTCTTCAAAACGAGGACCCAACTCCACAGGATGGTTGGGAAAAGCTGTTGGGGAACTGGCCTGGGTCTCTTAAATCATGGTTTCCTGATCCCATGTTCGGCTGTATTGCAAAAGAGCGGCGCAGGAAAACGCGATCGATTGCGCGGTCCTTCGGCCACTCGCGCGCAACTTCCCCGCGTGAGGCCGCGCGTCGGCGCCCTCTTCTCCTCGCGGTGTGCCGCGATGGCGGCCCGCGTAAGCCGCCGCACGGGGTCGGCGCGTCGTCTCGCGCAAGGACCCTTTCTTTTCGTCGCTCGACATTACAGCCTCAGACCTCCAACGAAATCGCCTTAGACCTCCAACGAAATCGCCTCAGACCTCCAAAGAAGTCGCCCGAAAACTTCAAAGACCTCTCACCTCAAGCCCGTCGCTGGGGGAACGCGCAGTGACATAAGCATAAACTTTCGGAGGTCCGCGCGGATTTCTCGGACGTGCGCTCGCGACGCCTCCGGCGCCGCCCCTGGCGCGCTCCGCGCGCCAGACAGGGAGGGTCCAGCGCCGATCCGAGAAATCCGCGCGGACCTCGGAAAGCTTTGTGCTTAACTTCTATACGTCTTTAGTTGTGGGTCCCCCCTTTGCGTCTCTCGGCGGGGAACAAACTCGCCCCTCCTCTTCCTCCTCCTCCTCCTCATGCTTGTCCTCCTCCTCCTCCTCCTGCTCCTCCTCCTCCTTCTCCTCCTCCTCCTCCTCCTCTCCTGGTCCTCCTCCTCCTGCTCCTGCTCCTCCTCCTCCTCCCTGTTCCCTCCTCTCTCCTCCTCCTCCCCCTCCTCCTCCTCCTCTCATCCTCGCTCACGCGCTCCTCGCTCTGGTGCTCTCCTCCTCCTCCTCCTCCTCCTCCTTCCTCCTCCTCCTCCTCCTCTCCTCCCCTCCTCCTCCTCCTCCTCCTCCTCCTCCTCTTTCTCCTCCTCTTTCTCCTCCTCCTCCTCCTCCTCCTCCTCCTTCTCCTCCTCCTCTTTCTCCCCTTCCCCTCGTCTTCGTCGTCGCGGCGGAGATAATGTTCACTCTATTGTTGGGCTGCCTGGATAATGTTGGAGGGTTCTTTTTCCCAGGGAACAATCCATTGTGGGCTACCCTACACGTGGGAGGACTTGCGGGCGTCTTCTCATGAGGACGGCAATAGGAATCAGTGGTGTGGTTGCAGTCTTGATTGTGGTCGTGGTTGTAATTGTGATTGCAATCGCGATTGTAATCGCGAGTGTAGTCGTAATCGCAGTCGTCGTCGTCGTCGTCGTGACGGAGGTGGTTTTCCCACTGATGTTCGCTGCGTTGGATAATATTAGGGGGTTCTTTCTCCCATGGAATAATGCTCCCGTGGCTACCCTGCACGACAGAGGAATTGTGAGCACGTTCGTGAAAGGATTGCAATATATATATATATATATATACATATATATATATATGTATATATAAATGGACACATTATTCGCCGAAGGCGTTGCTCACAGCTCACAATATCCTCTTTCATCTCATCGTCGTCGTTGTTGTGCGGCGTGTGCCGCGGAGAAATAGTTTGGGGTCCCAGTCCGTGGAGAAGGGCGTCGAAACTATGATGAGTTGCCATTATTGGGGGGTGTTCTTCTACAGACTGGTCGCGGTCATGTCATTGCTCGCTCTCCCCGTGCCAGGCCTCCCTCACATAGCGCTCAAGCCTCACGGGTCGTCGCTCCAAGGTTCGGCCACGCGCAGAGAGGGGTACAGGGGGCAGTGGGGATGGGGGAAGGGGCGAGGATCAAGATTCGAGGGTTGAGGAGTTTGGCTCTGGGTATGTCGGCCGAGCTTCGAGGATTGAGGGTCGAGGATCGTCTTTCGAGGCTCGAGGCTCGAGGGTCGAAGGTGTTTGGTTCCTGAGATAGTGTCGGGATGCCTCTCGTCGCGGCTGAGATCCCCAAGACATCATGGTCAAAACGCATCCCAGGAGAGGTCGGGGAGTTGAGTCGACCACGCGCAAAATGAGGGCCCGGGGAGGGGGAAGGGCTTCGCGGAAGCACCCCTGCTTCTCAGCAGGCGCGGGCCTTGTCTGTGGACGTGGGGCCCGTGTCCTGTCTCTTCTAGGGTACCAGTGGCGGAAGCCTTTTCCCCCCTCCTCCTCCTCCTCCCTCCTCCTCCTCCCCTCCTCTCCTCCTCCTCCTTCCTCCTCCTCCTCCTCTCCTTCCTCCTCCCGCCCCTCCCCTCCTCCTCCTCCCCCCCTCCCTCCCTCCCCCCCCTCTCCCCTCTCCCCCTCCCTCCCTCCCTCCTCCCCCCTCTACAATTATTCAATATGAATACTACTCTCCCTCTTCCCCTGATGGCGTGCTGGGAGTGGCCGACCCCCCCCCCCGCGTACTGTTTTTTTACACAGGATTCCCGGGAGTTGGGTTTTCGCCTGCGTTTTTTTTCAAAATGCTGCTCTCGCTGAGGCGCCGTCCTCATTTCTGCTCCCGAATCGTTCCGAATCGTGCTCCCGCTGCAGCGTGGGCCTCATTTTCGGATCGGTGTTTGGCCTCCGTCGTTCAGGATGGCGTTCTCGCCCCAGCGCGGGCCTCTTTCTCGCGCGCCCTTCCGCCCGCCACCACTGCGCCGCACCACCACCACCACCACCACCACCACAACCCCACCATCAACACCACCAACCAACCACCAACCAGCACACACACGCACACACGCACGCACGCAAACGCAGCGCTTCTATGTGTGTAGTTACCCCACGGCTCCACTACGCACGCGCTCGCGGATCCACAGGTCCGCGCTACGACGACATCCGACTGTGGATAGAGAAAATCAGCGCCATGTAAGTATGGGCGAGGGGTTATGACAGTCAGATATTGACGCTTGCGCACCCTAGCTTGTCCTCCATCCGCCTCCTCCTGCCCTCCCCTCCCTCCTCCTCCTCATCCTCCTCCTCCTCCTCCTCCTCCTCCTCCTCCTCCTCCTCCTCCTCCTCCTCCTCCTCCTCCTCCTCCTCCTCCTCCTCCTCCTCCTCCTCCTCCCCCGTGTTGTGCGCGCCGCCGAAGAGTGCCACCTGGAGCCCCGAAGCCCCTGGCGCTCCGGCCCCCCCGAAGTGGGGCCCCCCAGCGGCGGAG